ACTGACTTGGGAGGCTGCAACTGCACCATGACCTCAATCTTTGCCTTATCAACCTCAATCCCTTTCTCTGATACCTTGTGTCCCAACACTATCCCTTCGTTCACCATGAAGTGACACTTCTCCCAGTTGAGCACCAGGCTTGTCTCCTCACATCTTGCTAATACCCTGCAGAGATTTAACAAACATGAGGAGAAGGAGGAGCCATACACGGAAAAATCATCCATGAACACCTCCACCATCTCCTCTATCAAATCCGAGAATATAGAGGTCATACACCTCTGAAATGTTGCAGGTGCATTACACAAACCAAAAGGCATGCGTCTGTAGGCAAATGTGCCATATGGACAAGTGAACGTAGTCTTTTCCTGATCATTTGGGTGGATAGGGATTTGGAAAAATCCGCTATACCCATCAAGGAAACAGTAGTAGGGATGATTGGCTAATCGTTCTAACATTTGATCAATGAAAGGAAGCGGGAAATGATCTTTCCTAGATGCAGCATTCAGTTTTCTGTAATCAATGCACATCCTATGGCCAGTGATAGTCCTAGTGGGGATCAATTCATCTTTTTCATTTTTTATCACTGTAATCCCTCCTTTCTTAGGTACGCAATGCACTGGGGATACCCAAGTACTATCAGAGATAGGATAGATAACCCCAGCATTCAACAGTTTAAGAATTTCTTTTTTCACAACTTCCTTAAGGTTAGGATTCAATCTCCTTTGAGGTTCAATACTAGAGTATGATTCATTTTCCAGATTAATCCTATGCATGCAGAGACTAGGTGAGATCCCCTTGATATCATCTAAGGAATAACCTATGGCCCTTCTATATTTTCTAAGCTCAGTGACTAGCAACTCTAATTCCTCATTACTCAAGCTAGCATTCACAATGACAGGATAAGTAGAGTTGGATCCAAGGAATACATACCTCAGTCCTGAGGGTAGCGGTTTGAGCTCAACCTTGGGAGCTTTTAACTCTGACCAGTCATCATCAACCGCATTGACAGGATCAACAGCATGGTGAGTCATCGGGCTGCCACTGACTTCCTCCTCTACTGTGCATACCTCCTTGACAGACTTATCCAATTCCTCAAAACGTTCTGAATCATCAGTTGCCTTGTAGGTATCCAGTAACGTTTCGTAGACCTTGGTCTCAGCATGAAGAAATCCATCTGATCCACTCTTTGTCAAGGCTGTCTTGAGATGATCCTCCTCAGCAAGTTCTTCTAAAAGTTCATCAGCTAGCTGATCCATCTCCTCTATCCAGAACACCTTGCCATTGATTGTTGGTTTCTTCATAGACTCCTTGATGTCAAATGTCATCTTGAAGTCTTCTCCCAAGCATAAGTCTATCTTCCCCTTCTTAACATCAATGATAGCTCCAGCAGTGGCTAGGAAT